TCATGGAATTTTAGTATCTCTTTCACGCAGCTCCAGCGTTCTGTTAAGTTCCTATTAGACTATTGTTTTTATTATGATTATTGTATTTTTTGGACGATAAGTCGCTCCGGAGTGTAAATCACACCAGCTAAAAAATCCACAATGAAGAAGAAAAAAACAGATAAGTCGCACTTTTTGTGGGAAATTTATTTTATAAAATCCTAATAACACTAGTGTGTATGTGAGTGGTGTTGTTGTGTGTACAGTGTTGGTTCACACTAGTGTGTATGTGAGTGGTGTTGTTGTGTGTACAGTGTTGGTTCACACTAGTGTGTATGTGAGTGGTGTTGGTTGTGTGTACAGTGTTGGTTCACACTAGTGTGTATGTGAGTGGTGTTGTTGTGTACAGTGTTGGTTCACACTAGTGTGTATGTGAGTGGTGTTGTTGTGTGTACAGTGTTGGTTCACACTAGTGTGTATGTGAGTGGTGTTGTTGTGTGTACAGTGTTGGTTCACACTAGTGTGTATGTGAGTGGTGTTGGTTGTGTGTACAGTGTTGGTTCACACTAGTGTGTATGTGAGTGGTGTTGTTGTGTGTACAGTGTTGGTTCACACTAGTGTGTATGTGAGTGGTGTTGTTGTGTGTACAGTGTTGGTTCACACTAGTGTGTATGTGAGTGGTGTTGTTGTGTGTACGGTGTTCGTTCACACTAGGCAGGGTGGCAGTAGCTCAGTTGATAGAGCATTCGCCCGCTGATCTGAAGGTTGGTGGTTTGAATCCAGCTCTCAACATAAAAACATCACAGGTTGAGTGGTCAGATCCACTGACCCACAGGTTGGCTGGTGTGATTCCAGCTCCCACAGATGAATGCTGTCGTTGTGTCCTTGGGCAAGACACTTAACCCACCTTGCCCACAGTGTCTGCGTACACTGGTGTATGAATGTGTGTGTGAATGGGTGAGTGTTGTTGTAAAGCGCTTTGAGCGCTATAGAAAAATGTGAGTACAGTGTTCGTTCACACTAGTGTGTATGTGAGTGGTGTTGGTTCACACTAGTGTGTATGTGAGTGGTGTTGGTTCACACTAGTGTGTATGTGAGTGGTGTTGGAGTTCATGTTGGTCCAGATGTGATGGGGACTGTGGGACTCCTGTAAACTCTGATACTCTGATGTAGGAGCTGGAGTCTCGTCCTGATTGGACACTGTGTCACTGTGACTCGCTCCTTCTGATTCTCTGGGTTCGTGACATCGTCATGTGACGATATCGTCATAAAATCCGGTTTTACATTCAGTAACAACAAAACCTTGTCGTCAGTCCATGAAAACACTGTTTTCACTCTTACCATCTTCCTCGGTTTGAAATCAGGTGCAGCTTCAGACACGGTTCTCCACTTCCTTGATTTTATTGCCGTTGCGTCGTGTCTCCAGCCCAGTCATGTGACTCGTGTTTCAGATGGTTTTGTGTTACTGTGTGGAGGGAACGGACACAGAATCGACGTGTCTGGACACAAATTGTTTCCGATACGGTGATATGGTGATACGGTGTTTTATTTCAGTGTAAACGTCACCTAAAAGTTCTTCTCTCAAACTGAAAACACTCTGCTCCACCTTGTGATGTCATCATGTGGTGATACAGGAAGTGCTCTCAGAAGTGTTTTTAAACTCCACACACCTTCACTAGAATCATCTGGATCATTTCAGCCCAGGAATTTCTTTACCAGTCTCTGCTGAACAGGAGCTGTTAAACGACCTCTTCATGACATCACAAGGTGGAACAGAGCATTTGGAGCTCTGGAGATGTAGACAGACGAATAATAAAGAGTCACTCAAACATGAATGAAACAAAACACAACTCCAGGTCTGTTTGTGACGAGGGAACAACATTAGAACATGACTTAACGCTCACAAGAGGCAGTTTTGTGTAATTTAGGACGGATAATATCAGCTTTACTTTCCAGATTATTTTTTAAAACCTTAGAGAACCTTGGTGTTGTTATATGTACTTTTGTTTAATATTGTGCGTTCCTTTTGTTTTATATTGTGCGTTGTCTGTGTTCAGTCTTTCCTCCTTAAATAGTTTCTGTGTGTTTGTTTACTCGTTGAATCCTTCACGGTAGAGAAGTCATGTGAAACGGGATTATTTTAGAACATAATTACGTAACCAAACGTACAGCTTCCTCTAGTTTCCACGAGTAACTAACAGAATTACAGAAAGAGAACGCGGCGCTCTGTCTGCTTCACCGACAAATGACCCAAATGTTCATGTAAGTCTCACAGGAAAAGCCCTTCAACACAGAAAAAAACATGAAATATCTGGGAAAATTTGACTGTATTTTATTCTAACTAAACTCTGCAAATGACTTTTTTCTGTCTTAAAATGTAAATATAACAGAATAATTTAATTTTAAACAGTTTGCAGCGCTCCAAAGTTCTTCTTCACTTAACTTCTGCAGTCAGAGCGTCGATGAGTTTATCAGAACTTTTCACGACTTTCAGAAACCAGAGCCGAACAACTAGCATGCTAACGGCGCTGATTCTGACAGTAAAACGCTTTATAATAACGAGACCTTATTTTGCCTTAATAAAGCATGAACAAAGATAAATCATAATAAATAAATACTTAATTAACTCTTCCAGACCTGAGGGCAATTTTAGAACATTTGTCCTCGTCTGGATTTTTTTTTTTTTTTTTATTTAGCTTTTAAAACTGCCCCTTTTACCCCCAAATGAAGTGTTACACATCTTTTTTTTTTTTTTTTTCACTACAACTTGTTATTTCAAAGTAATAAAAACTACAGGACCAGAAATACAAATGAAAAAAAAACACACACACAGAAACATGTATAAACAACTTTTTGGACTTAAACAAAATCGTAATTTAGGGCTACAAAAGTGCAAAATATCAAGTGTGTAAATAAACTCAAAATCTCCTTATTGCCTCAAAAAAAAATAAAATAAAATGCAGTGTCTTCATGACTTGACTGGTGCAGGTCGTGGAAACAGCTGGAGTCAGGTCCAGGTCAGAGACACATCACTTCTGCGTTTCCATGGAGTTTATTACATTTGGATTTGGACATTTGGACTCAAATAAACCTGAAAATAAAAATAACAACAGCTCACAATTACACAGACCAACATGTGTCATTTTAGTCTGATTCATGAGCTGGTTTCACTTGGTGTAAACCGTGTGACCTGCAGCATTAGGATTCGTTCACTCGACAGGAGGCGGGGACTTCTTTTTTTATTGAACCAATCGCTGCTGTTTGGTCGTGACGTTTTAATGCTCCAAATCCTGTAGGAAGAAGAACAATAACGTCTTTTTCTGAGATAAAATTCACCAAACATTCTCTTTGTTCCGGCTTTAAAATCCTCGGGGATCTGGAGAGTGTCTGTCTTCGTCTACATCTCGACTCTTTGTTTACTGTTGTGCTGAAACACAAAAAGGACAGAGACAGACGCCACAACGACCACGACGTCATGACTTCTCCGCTCACCGCTGATTGGTCGGTGCGTGTTCTACAACTTCCATGGTTTCGGCGAATCTTCCAGTGTTTTCTGATTCCTGATCTAGAGCTGGTGAGAAATGAAACTGAGCGGAGGCACTAGGTGGTTCCAGCCTGGATAGTGTAATTTTCCATTTATTTGAGAAATCTCTGCACTTTTTCTGCGATTTTTTTCAAAATTGTTCTAAACACAGATGCTCAGAGCATCGACCATTTTGACTCACTACACTCTTTGGCAAAGTTTGGACCGATCAAAATGGATGGAACGACTGAGTTTGGACCAAAACAAAGTTCCTGTTGGACACTCGTTTATGAGAAAAGGGAAATGGCGTGATCCGAGCGCAAATGTCCGCTCTGTTTTAAAGTTCAGAGGCACTGGTCTGCGTCGCGTTGGAGTGTTGTGACTGTGGGTCGGCTGTCAATCATATCTCCAGAGCCCCGCCCCCGACCCGCCGGCACCGCCCACTCTGGAGGATTTTTTTGATTTTGCTTAGGGGCGGAGTAAAGGTTCAGGAGGAGGTTTAATGTCTCTTGAACAGCTCCTTTGACCTTTAGTTCAGTAGAGATTGACAATTCCAGGTCTGAAATGATTCTAGTGAAGGTGTGTGGAGTTTAAAAACACAGTGGAGCACTTCCTGTGTCACCACATGATGACATCACAAGGTGGAACAGAGTGTTTTCTGTTTGAGAGAATCTGCAGGGTTTGTGTGTTAAACATGTGAATGAAACAAAACACAACTCCAGAATCTGTGTGTCATTCGTTCAGTCGTTTTTCAAAATAAAACCAAAAAATAAGAAAATGAAATAACAATTATTTGTCTATAAAAACAAAATGAAAAAAGAGATTTTGTGTTTAAATGAAAAATGGAAAACACGGATAACGACTTAAACTTTGAGGCCGGACTGAACCAAGACTAAACCAGGTCTGAACCATTTTCAGTCCCGGCCTTGATCCCATATTCACTCCTGGTTTAGTCCTGGTTCAGTCCTGGTTTAGACCTGGTTTAGTCCTGGTTTAGTCCTGTTTTAGTCTTGGTTCAGTCCTGGTTTAGACCTGGTTTAGTCCTGGTTTAGTCCTGGTTTAGTCCTTTATCTGTATTTTCCATTTTTCATTTAAACACAAAATCAAAAACTGAAAAAACACAATCTGTTTTTTCATTTTGATTTTGGAGACAAATAATTAAGAAAATATATATATATATTTTTTTGCTTCTTTTTGTTTTTATTTTGAAAAATGAACGAGCGACACACAGATTCTCCAGGTTTGTCTGTGCTGGAAACTCCGTTCGACTTGAACCTTGTTCTAAACTTGCCGTCCCCTCTGTGCCCTCCAGGTGGCGTCCTCCCTGGGCTCTGACGCCGGGCGGAGCTGGGGCGACTACATCCTGGTCTCGCAGGACGGGGAGCTCCAGGGGGGAGGGGCCGCCATCCGGAGGGGGCGGGGCCTGGTGCGTCTGGAACCAGAGGGCTCGGCCGCCGCCTTCCACGACCCCCTGACCGCCGGCAGCCCCACGGGGTCGTCCAGCCCCGACGACGAGGGCTCCACCAACAGCAAGGACTCGGACTTCACCATGGTCAACCCGGGCGACCTGTGAGGGGGCGGGGATGGGGGGAAGGGGGCGGGGATAGGGGGGTGAAGGGGCGGGGTTAAATCTTGCACATTCGGACTGAGACACTTTGACCCAAACTCCACGTGTCACCCGTGCCATGTGTCTGCGCTCACCGCCGAACAAACGCACTGTCCACCGCTGAGAGAGGCAAAGACCCGACTATTACCACGCTGATGAGCAAACTAAAGCCACACTGCGTAACCTTTTTTATTTAGAGATGTTTTTGTTTGGCCGAGAATGTTCCATACGGAAGCCGAGAGGGGTCACAGCAAACGCAAACGCCGCAACAAATACAAATGTGACAACACAACAAAAAGCCACAATAAACCAAAAAAAGCCACAACGGAAATGACCGCGGGACTCTATTTTCCGACGGACCGATCAAGCGGCAAGTGAAGAAGAAGAAGAAGAACTACAACGTGAAACGAATAATGATAAAACAATAAATAGTTGTAAAATAGAGTCCCGCGGTCATTTCCGTTGTGGCTTTTTGTTGTGTTGTGGCATTTGTATTTGTTGTGGCATTTGTATTTGTTGCGGCGTTTGCGTTTGTTACCTCTCTTCTTCCACTGTCCTGAATGTCTTTACACGTGTCGATCTTTTACGTTACTGCAGCTGGATTAAGGCCTCGACACACTACGCGAGAATTTACCCGATTTTGGACGCGATTTTTCTTCTCCCCGAGTTCGTCGAAACGCAACTCGACTTTGTGTTTTCGTCTGCGCTGCTCGAGTTTGTGATCGTAACTGCCGAACTTCAGCGACACAGATTAAAATCATTCTAACTGAAGCGTCCATCAGAATTCGAACTGAAAAGTTACAACTTCAGGAATTAAAATCACAAAATGAAACGGTTTCACTTTCTTCAGTACGAACACGAAATCACAGACGCGACTCGACTGTCAACACTTCACAGGACTGAACCAGGACTGAACCAGGACTGAACCAGGACTGAACCAGGACTAAACCAGGACTAACCCAGGACTAACCCAGGACTCAACCAGGACTCAACCAGGACTGAACGAAGGCTAAAACAGAACTAAACCAGGACTAAAATTGGACTGAAACAGGACTAAACCAGGACTATCCCAGGACTAAAATTGGACTAAACCAGGACTAAACCAGGACTAAACTAGGACTAAACCAGGACTAAACCAGGACTAAAGCAGGACTAAACTAGGACTAAACCAGGACTCACTGTCGGGGCGGGCTCGTAGCTGCGCCCGTGTAGACCATCAGGTGACCGCGGGCAAAAGGACCCGGCTCAGAGCTCCGCCCCTAACCCCCACGGAGATAAGCGCAGCCGTTGCCCGATCGCACTTTGTGGACGCCCTGCTCCACGAGCTCAGGGTTTTCTCTCTTAAGTCCAAGATTAGTCCTGGTTTAGTCCTGGTTTAGTTCTGACCCGCACGTAAAATCGCTTAAGACCGAAAAATCTTGTCGTGTGTGACTCACTGTGCGCGGGCTCACGTCTCCACAGATCTGACCTGTCACTTGGCTTGTTGGCGCAGCGAGCTCATCTCCACGGAGATCGAGAAGTAAGAAAATGTCGTACTGTTGAACATCGCAGGTGAAAAGGTGAAAGTCCAAAAAAGTCACGTAATTTTGTCTGAAAATCTGCAGTTTGATATTTTCCCAAAGTTAAACGAAGCTGAACACGACGGCTTTTTATTTTCCTCTTAAACCGTGTATTTGGTGTTTCAAAAGCATCGTCTGCTCTTCTGGCGGTTTTTCTTTTTCGCATCACAAACAGAATGTTCGTCTTATTCCGGAAGTTTCTGTGGGATCCTCACGGCGAGAAAATTCTCCACAGACTGTAAAGGCGTTTTAAAGCCTCAGAATCAGCGCAGTGTCACTAATTTTATTTTATTTTTTACAGTTTTTACACAGATTATCTGACTTTCAGTTCATCAGATTGAAGCACTAAAACTTTCCTCAAATTCTTCATTGAATTTAATCTGATTTCAGTTTAGGAGAACGCCGTTTAGGAGCTTTAAGCAGCTTAGATTTTTACTGCGGATTTTACACAATTTTGAAAGTTGAATTTGACGGCTTGAAAATATTTGTGCTGAATATTTAAAAGATGATATTTTTTATATATATATTGAATTTTAAACACTTCGAAAATGTGCACTTAAAATTTCGACAAGTAAAATTCTGAATAAAAATAATTTAAACATGTTTGTTAAGAGTTAAAAAATTCAAACTGAGAAATTCAGCGGGATTTAAAAATCTGATGAAACAAATAATCATCCATACACATAGACGTGGTTTAGACCTGGTTTAGACCTGGTTTAGTCCTGGTTTAGTCCTGGTTTAGACCTGGTTTAGACCTGGTTTAGTCCTGGTTTAGACCTGGTTTAGACCTGGTTAGACCTGGTTTAGTCCTGGTTTAGTCCTGGTTTAGACCTGGTTAGACCTGGTTTAGTCCTGGTTACCTGGTTTAGACCTGGTTTAGACCTGGTTTAGACCTGGTTTAGACCTGGTTTGGACCTGGTTTGGACCTGAACCACTGAGGGATTACATAGATTTAAAGACACATGGGAAAAGAAAAGAGAACAAGATAAAACTTTTTATTTTAACATAATTCCTGATATTTACATTTCATCATTCAGCTTCCAGTTTTGGCCTCACGGTTTTTGATTTATTTGATTTCATATTTTCTGTTAGAGACTGTTACTCGCCAAAACGTGACCCTTTTTTGTCCAGTCCAAATGTAAATACTGGAAGAAAATCTCACGAGATCATTTTTCTCACGTGTACGAGATCTTGTCCCGACCGTTTACTGCTGAAAGTCACGTTCTGTCGTCTAAAGAAAATGTTTTTAGTTTGAAGTTGTGGTATCGTGACGTTGGAGCGTTTTAATAGTGGGTCTTTTCCTGGTCTCAGTGGTCTAACGGCTTCTTCTTCTGCTACTGTTCTTACTGCTGTGCCCTGGGCTGCAGACAGGGGGCGCTCTCTGTTTACCCACTACATAAACTACGACTGTGAGACTGTGTTAACGTTACATTTACGTTGGTGATGTTTCTGTCGACAGATCAGTGCCTCCATCTCTCCAGCCAAGCGATCCGTGTGTCACTCGTTCAGTCGGTTCTCAAAAGAAAAACAAAAAGAAGAAAACAAAACAAAATAATTCATTCATTATTTGTCTCCAAAACCAAAATGAAAAAACAGATAAAGACTCGATTTTTTCAGTTTTCGATTTTGTGTTTAAATGAAAAATGAAAAAAAAAAACCAAAAAAAACCCCACAAAAAACGGAAAACGGACTGATCCAGGACTAAACCATTTTCAGTCCTGGTCTCCGTCCTGGTCCCGGTCTGGTCCCGGTCTGGTCCCGGTCTGCTCCTGGGCTCAGTCTTGGTCTGGTCCCGGTCTCAGTCCCGGTCTCAGTCCCGGTCTCAGTCCCGGTCTCAGTCCCGGTCTCAGTCCTGGTCTCAGTCCCGGTCTTGTCCTGGGCTCAGTTCTGGTCTCAGTTCTGGCCAGGTCCTGGGCTCAGTCTTGGTCTAGTCCTGGTCTGGTCCCAGTCTCAGTCCTGGTCTCAGTCCCAGTCTCAGTCCTGGTCTCAGTCCCGGTCTCAGTCCTGGTCTCAGTCCCGGTCTTGTCCTGGGCTCAGTCTTGGTCTCAGTCTTGGTCTCAGTCTTGGTCTCAGTCCCGGTCTCAGTCCCGGTCTTGTCCTGGGCTCAGTCTTGGTCTCAGTTCTGGCCTGGTCCTGGGCTCAGTCTTGGTCTGGTCCTGGTCTGGTCCCGGTCTCAGTCCCAGTCTCAGTTCTGGTTTCGGTCCTGTTCCCGGTCCTCTTCCCGGTCTGGTTCCAGTCTGGTCGGACCTGGTTTAGTCCTGGTTCAGACTGTTTTCTGTTTTTTTCCATTTTTCATTTAAACACAAAATCAAAAACTGAAAAAAATAAGTAAATAAAATAAATCTTTATCTGTGTTTTCATTTTGGTTCTGGAGACAAATAATGAAGAAAATAGTTTTTTTTTTCTTTTCTTATTTTTGTTTTTATTTTGAAAAGCGACTGAACCATCGACTCACAGACTCAAACCTGAACCTGTGACTAATCGTTCCTTTGTTATATTTACTTTGTTTTTTTATATCGAATCTTTTAGTGTCTTTTTTTTTTTTTTTTTTTTTAGTTTCAGAAATGATTAAATTATGGATTATTTTTCTGTTCTTTGTCGAATCCTTTTAAATGTGACTCGTTTTCGTGTCTGATTCAAACTGTAACATAAATATAATTGTACATCAATAAATGACGAGCTCCAGCTTCAGACTCAAACTCGTCTGTTTCAGTGTTTGAACAGAATCTCACAGGAAGAAAGCTACAGTCTGGAACTTTTCTGTCAGGCTTTAAACATGTCGATGGGAGCGTCTCGTTTCTCTTTCCTCGCTTCCTTCTCCACGATTCCTCCATTTTTTCAGCTGTCAATCAAACGAACGAAGGAGGAAACCTGAAGGAAACGAAGGAGTGTCTCCTCTGGTTTCCTTCCTTCGCCTCCTCTGTGGTTTCCTTTTTTCTTCCATTGTCTCTTTTGTGGTTTCCTTCCCTAGTCTCCTCTGTGGTTTCCGTCCCTCGTTTCCTCTGTGGTTTCCTTCCCTCGTCTCCTCTGTGGTTTCCTTCCCTCATCTCCTCTGTGGTTTCCTTCCCTCGTCTCCTTTGCAGTTTCCTTCCCTCGTCTCCTTCCCTCGTCTCCTTTGTGGTTTCCTTCCCTCGTCTCCTCTGTGGTTTCCTTCCCCTGTCTCCTCTATTGCTTCCTTCCCTCATCTCCTTTGTGGTTTCCTTCCCTTGCCTCCTCTGTGGTTTCCTTCCCTCGTCTCCTCTGTGGTTTCCTTCCCTCGTCTCCTTGTCCTCTGTGGTTTCCTTCCCTCGTCTCCTTGTCCTCTGTGGTTTCCTTCCCTCGTCTCCTCTGTGGTTTCCTTTTTCCTTCCCTTGCCTCCTTTGTGGTTTCCTTCCCTTGTCTCCTCTGTGGTTTCCTTCCCTTGTCTCCTCTGTGGTTTCCTTTTCTTGTCTCCTCTGTGGTGTCCTTCCCTCGTCTCCTCTGTGGTTTCCTTCCCTCGTCTCCTCTGTGGTTTCCTTCCCTCGTCTCCTTTGTGGTTTCCTTCCCTCGTCTCCTTCTCCTCTGTGGTTTCCTTCCCTCGTCTCCTTCTCCTCTGTGGTTTCCTTCCCTCGTCTCCTCTGTGGTTTCCTTCCCTCGCCTCCTCTGTGGTTTCCTTCCCTCGTCTCCTCTGTGGTTTCCTTCCTTCATCTCCTCTGTGGTTTCCTTCCCTCGCCTCCTCTGTGGTTTCCTTCCCTCGTCTCCTCTGTGGTTTCCTTCCCTCGTCTCCTCTGTGGTTTCCTTTTTCCTTCCCTTGTCTCCTTTGTGGTTTCCTTCCCTCGTCCCCTCTGTGGTTTCCTTCCCTCGTCTCCTCTGTGGTTTCCTTCCCTCGTCTCCTTTGTGGTTTCCTTCCCTCGTCTCCTTCTCCTCTGTGTTTCCTTCCCTCGTCTCCTTCTCCTCTGTGGTTTCCTTCCCTCGTCTCCTCTGTGGTTTCCTTCCCTCGCCTCCTCTGTGGTTTCCTTCCCTCGTCTCCTCTGTGGTTTCCTTCCTTCATCTCCTCTGTGGTTTCCTTCCCTCGCCTCCTCTGTGGTTTCCTTCCCTCGTCTCCTCTGTGGTTTCCTTTTTCCTTCCCTTGTCTCCTTTGTGGTTTCCTTCCCTCGTCCCCTCTGTGGTTTCCTTCCCTCGTCCCCTCTGTGGTTTCCTTCCCTCGTCTCCTCTGTGGTTTCCTTTTTCCTTCCCTTGTCTCCTCTGTGGTTTCCTTCCCTCGTCTCCTCTGTGGTTTCCTTCCCTCGTCTCCTTTGTGGTTTCCTTCCCTCGTCTCCTCTGTGGTTTCCTTCCCTCGTCCCCTCTGTGGTTTCCTTCCCTCGTCCCCTCTGTGGTTTCCTTCCCTCGTCTCTGTGGTTTCCTTCCCTCGTCTCCTCTGTGGTTTCCTTCCCTCGTCTCCTCTGTGGTTTATTTCCCTCGTCTCCTCTGTGGTTTCCTTCCTTTGTCCCCTCTGCGGTTTCCTTCCCTCGTCTCCTCTGCGGTTTCCTTCCCTCGTCTCCTCTGCGGTTTCCTTCCCTCGTCTCCTCTGTGGTTTGGGACACTTAATCTGGAGCGTTTGATTGACAGCTGAAAAATAGAGGATCGAGGAGACGAATCGAGGAGAAGGAAGCGAGGAAAGAGGAATGAGACGCGTCCTTTCTCTGTGGAGACGAGATCTGTGGAGAGGTGACCCAGCTCAGAGGAACACTTTCTGGTTTTTGAGGTATTTTTAGCACCACGAAGAAAAACCCAAACCAGATCAGAAGTGAACAAACGAAAACAGAACCTGACGTCCTCAGGAACCTCCTGGAGATCCTCCGACCGTCCAGAACCTCACGCAACAGAACACAACAACATGATGTCCACACAGCTGCAAAAAAAATAAAACAAACAGCAGAGGACTGAGAAACATCGTGGATTTTTCAGAATCGAAGCACCAAACTCTGACGTGTCTCAGGTAAAAGAAGTTTTATATTTTGTTCTGAAAGTTACGAGAATTTTGGAGGAGAAATGTTTTCTGCTTTTGAAAGGCCCAATAATAATCATCTGTGCACAGTGTTGGGGAGTAACAGATTACATGTACCAGAGTTATGTAATCAGAGTACTAATTATGAGTAACTGTATTCAGTTACAGTTACTGTTTCAGTGAGTGGTAACTGGATTACAGTTACTTTGCTGAAATAAATTTAAATTTATTTGAATTTAAATTTATTTGTTTGTTTAAATTTAAATTTATTTGTTTGGAGGATTACATGGCGGTATTTTCCTGTTTTCACATTTTCGGCTGTACCCCGCCTTTTTTTTCTTCAGTAATTACACTCATTGCTGGAAACTAAACCAGGTCTAAACTAGATCTAAAACAGGTCTAAAACAGGACTAAAACAGGACTAAAACAGGTCTAAAACAGGACTAAATCCTGCTGTGTGGTCTGCTCCTCGTTTTCTATCAATAATATTTTTAATTTGGTTCAGTAAAGTCTGGGCTTTTTATTTTCTTTTAGCAGATAAAACTTCTCATGTTCAAATATCTTAGTCTTTGTTTCTCTACAGCAAATCAAGTAATCCAAAGTATTCAGATTACATTACTCACTTTAAGTAATTTAATGGATTACGTTATAAACTACATTTTGGGGGATGTAATCTGTAATCTGTAGGGGATTACATTTTAAAAGTCACCTTCCCAACACTGTCTGTGCACTGCAAAAAAAACTGTAAAACTGCCAAAATGTAAAATATAAAAACTTAAATCTATCTGAAAATGACTTAAAAGTGTGAAATGATCTGTTCACGCAGCGAGAAAATTTAACTCGACAAGTTTTCTTAAAATAAACTTCCTCTAGATGAGATTGAAGCGTCTGTGCTCGGTGTTCACGGGCTGGAAATAAGTTTATAGATGCAAAGATTGAGATAAACGAACTTAAAACAAACTTAAAACCAGTTCATGTTAACTTCTTAGTATCGTTAATGGAATAAGGGAAGGAGAAAAATAAATAAATAAATCCTATCAAAGAGAGATACGTGAAGTGATAAAGAAAGCAAATTGTTGTACTGTCTGTTGTATTGTCTCTATTTAATTGTTAATAAAAAAATTGAATTAAAAAAAAACAGTTTATGTTCAGTGTTGATTTTCATGGGCTGAAAATAAATTAAAAGAAGATAAATTCTGGATAGAAGTTCTTGAAATCAGTTTTACATGAGAGCAGTTTGTCCATCTGTTTTCTTCTTCTCTGGGGTCGGGTCGCGGGGGCATCAGTCTAACCAGGGATTCCCAGACTTCCTTCACCCCAGACACTTCCTCCAGCTCCTCCAGTGGGACCTGAGGTGCTCCCAGTCCAGTCCAGAGTCACAGTCCCTCCAGTGTGTCCTGGTTCTTCCCTGGGGTCTCCTCCCATTGGGACATGAACACCTCCTGAGGGACACGTCCAGGAAACATCAGAACAGACGTCCTCCCCTCAGACGCTCCTCTCCACGTGGAGGAGCAGCGGCTCTACTCCGAGCTCCTGACTCTGTCTCTACGGGAGACGCCCGGACGCCCTGCGGAGGAAACTCATTTGTGTCGCTCGTATCGTGGATCTGGTCCTTCAGGTCATGACCAGAGGTGAGGGGAGGAACTGAGACTGACTTTTACACATGAGCTTTTGGTTTATCACAGATTTTTGGAGCTTGAATTTGCTCGAAAATGTTACTCTTCAAATGTGAGGGCGTCTTTGAAGGACTGTGGAAAGTTCCGTTTCACAGACAGAGGTTTGATATTGAACATAAACCTTCCCACACACGACACTGTGGACTTTGTATTTTAAACCTGAGCCTCTGTGATGAACGATCGACAAGATATGAAGAGTTCAAAATGGAACAAAATAAATTTGGTGCATTTTACCATGTTACACCAAAAAAAAAATGAAGCACCCACCAACATAAAATGGACAGTTTTAGAAAGACTAGACGTCTGTTTTTTACATGTCCAACATTTGTGATGCTGTTCTGCCTTATTTTTGCAAAATTAATTTTTGAAACTGTGGCGTCTGCACATGCAGAGAATTCATGGACTATGAAGACACTTTCAGAAGCTCAGAAAACTCAGAAAACTCTGAATATTTGTGATAAATCAAAAGCTCATGTGTAAAAGTACAGATTCTGCAAGTACATTTGACAAATTTTAACCCTTGAAAATTTGAAGGAACGACTTTAGTTTTATAGATACAGAAATCTGAAAGTGTCTCCTTGGAAAACTCTGCTTAAGTTGACAAAATATTTTTTAATAACAAAAGCAGTTGGGAGATAAAAGTTGGGACTTTTCCTGTTGGAAAGTGTCTGAACCTCCTAGAATTTTTTCAGTCAAATCTGAAATGGTCAAGTGGAGCATTTGGAGATTTGGTGTGGACAGACACGACTTTAAAGTCATTTTCTGACAGATTTAAGTGTTTCGATCTTAAACTTTGGCCAAGTTTTTTCGCAGTGTGGTTGGTTGGATGGTCTCAGGTTTTTCACGCTCTGTGGTTCAGTTTCAGTCTCTTCTGGAGAAATCTGGCTCCTCTGGGAATCTCGGCTCTATTTTCTTTCTCCTGGCTCAGGTTTGGAGGAGGAGCTCAGGCTGAGATCATCTGTAAAAACCAAACACCTCAATGCTTCAGGAGAGTGTTTTAACGTTTGAACAAAAGACTCATTTCATGTTATTTTTTGATCTTCTAAAGTCGATTCCTGATCACAAACCGACCTGGAGTTGTGTTTAATTTCAGTTTTTTGTCAGATTTCATTTTAAAAATAAAAGGAAACAGAGAAAAAACTAAGACTAAAACCAGAGCCACACACAGATTTGTACAAAATAGACTTTATTACTTGTAGTTGATGAGATGTTCCACACTGCCACGATAATCTGGAATGTTCTGTCCGAGATCTCACACAAAATCCAAAACACAAAACTCAAAACTCAAAACTCTGAAAATCCTGTACAATGATTTAAACGTCACGACGCTTCGAAAAGAAACTAAAAAAATAGAGGAAACTTTATGACGACAACTTTTAAAGGGCAGACAGGACCGGAGACAGGACCGGAGACAGGACCGGAGACAGGACCAGGTGAGGAGACAGGTGAGGGGACAGGTGAGGGGACAGGTGAGGGGACAGGTGAGGAGACAGGTGAGGGGACAGGTGAGGGGACAGGTGAGGAGACAGGAGGAGACAGGACAGGAGACAGGACAGGGTGAGGGACAGGTGAGGGAGACAGGTGAGGGGACAGGTGAGGGGACAGGTGAGGGGACAGGTGGACAGGTGAGGGGACAGGGGGACAGGTGAGGGGACAGGTGAGGGGACAGGGGGACAGGTGAGGAGACAGGTGAGGGGACAGGGGACAGGTGAGGGACAGGTGGGACAGGTGACAGGGGACAGGGGGACAGGTGAGGGGACAGGTAGGGGGACAGGTGAGGGGACAGGTGGGGGACAGGTGACAGGTGGACAGGTGAGGAGACAGGTGAGGGACAGGTGAGGGGACAGGTGAGGACAGGTGAGGGGACAGGGGGAAGGGGACAGGGGGACAGGTGAGGGGACAGGGGGACAGGTGAGGAGACAGGGGGACAGGTGAGGGGACAGGGGACAGGTGAGGAGACAGGGGGACAGGTGAGGGGACAGGGGGACAGGTGAGGAGACAGGGGGACAGGTGGACAGGTGAGTTCCTTGGCGCTGTTTGAGATTCAAGTAAAAGTTCCGTTAACAGTAAAAGTCGAGACGTCACAACAGATCATTTTATTTTATTTTCAGTTTTAAGATTTAACGTGTCTTTTTGTCTGACAGGAGCGTTTAGTTTGTTCTGTTTGTGTATATTTTTATTTTTCCGTCTGATTTCTGCTCCCGTTTCGTCCGTAAACAGACTCCTTCCCAGCGCAGAAACGTCACTGGATTTATATTTCTGAACGTTTCTCACGTCAGCGCTGTGTTCTGTTAAAGCACCAGCAGAGGGCGCTAAAGCTCAGTCTGGGAATCGACCAAACCGACGTTGGTCCAAGTCCGAGGAGCGTGAATCGAGCCGAGGGGGCGAACACTTCGTCGGACAGAAGAGGACGAAAGCTTCTCCAACTGTCCCACAAAACTGTAAATATAACTGAAACTACGTTCAGACTGCAGGACTTAACGCTCAATTCAGATTTTTTTGTGAAATCCGATGTTTTTGCGAGGTTGTTTATTTAATTTTATTTATTTATTTATTTGAGACAGGGACAGCGCACAATTTTTTGCATTTTTACCTGAACAGGAGAGATGTTTGTACATCAGGTTGTAGCATCAGTGCTGATCTCCACCTGTCGTCCCTGGACAGGTTCATTGATTATTATTATTATCATTATGATCGATTGTTTTTAACTGACCTCGACTATCAACTGTTCTTGGAGACCTGGAGCATGTTTTGGGTTGATGGGGGAAACCGGAGCGTCTGGAGGAAACTCATCCAGACACAGGGAGAAACATGCAAACTCCACACAGAAAGGCCCGGGCGACCTGGGGATCAAACCCGGAACCTTCTTGCTGTGAGGCATGAGTGCTAGCTACTCAGCCACCGTGCCGCTGGTTTCCAATTAAATGTGACTTGTATGTGACTCCAGTGTGAACATTAAACGGCCCAAAAGTGTCCCACATGTGACACTGGAGACACGACGACGTCAACCGCAGCGAGCGTCTCTGTGTTTACAGAAGTTGTCCAAACATGGACGCAGCATCGAGCACCTGGAGATTTTATAGTTCCTCTCGTACCAGAGCCAGAACATGAACAACTTACTTGTTTTAAGGAGGAGATTGAGAAGGAGAAGGACGAGGTTTTTGGTGGTGGTGTTTTGTGGTGAGTGGAGATGTGCTTCACTTCAGTCACATGGATCATGAACAGTTTTCTCTACTTCAGCGCAGAATAGTGACGTTTGTGTCTTGTTGATGACGTGTAGGTGGATGAATGTGACCTGACCGTTCACACTGAAGTCACATGTTAAAGATCAGATATGGATCAGTTTCAGGAGCACAGATCCAAGTGTCCTGGGTCACATTTGAAAAAATCGGATCTGTGTGGTTCAGACTGACATTAAAAGATCAGATCCAGGTCATATAGGGGCCAAAAAATTGGATTTGGGTCACTTCAGGCTGCAGTCTGAACGCTGCCTGAGCCTCGTTATTTTGGTCTTGAATTGTTCATATGAACCTGCGATACGTGAGGTTTTTGGTGTTTTTATTTTTACTATTTGTACTTTTTTATTTCACAACATGATAAAAAAAGCAGCGAGTTAGACACGTCCCTGCAGCGAAACGAGACAAAACGAACGCTCCCGTCAGACAAAACCAGTCACTGTTTTTTTATTTTGTTTGGTTTTGTCCGGAATTACAGGTTATAAAATGCTGGTGTGTCCTGTCGTCCCCCTGTCCCCCTGTCCCCGCCCACACACACTCGCGTTTCTTGAGAAATGGGAGCCTCCGTCTTCAGTTGGTTTTTGCGTCGGTTTGTTTCCTGATTTGTTTTTATCAAAAATGATGTTTGAGACGCACAGACGTGATGCGCACACACACACACACACACGCGCGCGCACACACACGCGCGCGTACACGCGCACACACACACGCACACACACACACACACACACACACACACACTGTACAGGGACAGAGGGACAGAGGGACGCAGGGACAGAGAGAGAACCTGTCCAATGGCTTCACTACAATCACACTCCCACACAGAGGGAGAGAGAGAAGAGACAGAGAAGAGAGGAGAAAGGGAAGAGCGAAGAGAGGGGAGACAGCGAGGGGAGAGAGAGAGAAAGAGAGGGAGAGAAGATGGGGGAAGAAAGAGGTGAGACCCAAGAGGGGGGAAAGAGCAGAGAGAAGAGAGGGGGAAGAGAGGAGAGAGATGGGGGATAAGGGGAGGGGGGAGAGAAAAGAGGAGAGCAAAGGGAGAGGAGGGGACAAAGAACGGGCATCGGAGAGAGAGAAGAGTGGGGGAGAGAAAAGAAAAAGAGGGGAGAGAGAGCGAGTGAAAAGGAAAGAAAGATGAAAGTTCAGAGAGAGAGAGAGGGATGACAGGAGAGCAAAGAGAGGAAAGAGAGAGAGACGTCGTCCTCCAGCTCTGAGCAGGAGGAGCGGTCGTCATGGTGACGGCGGCGGCGGCGTGACGGAGGCTCACGTCCGCCTGCTGCCGTCTCTCTCCTGATTGGTCCTTAAATAGTCAGAGCTCTCTCCTGATTGGCTCTCACGTGGACGTCCCCCTGGCGCCGTGGTGACCCCTCCGCTGGTCCGGGCTGGATCTGGGCTGGTCCTGGACTCGGGTGTGGTCCTGGACCCGGGGGTGGTCCTGGACCCGGGGGTGGTCCTGGACCCGGGGGTGGTCCTGGACCCGGGTGTGGTCCTGGACCCGGGTGTGGTCCTGGACCCGGGGGTGGTCCTGGACTCGGGTGTGGTCCTGGGCCCGGTCCTGGTCCTGGGCCCGGGTCTGGTCCGGACTGGCCCGGGTCTGGACCTGGACTCGGCGGGTCCCTGGACTGTGTTTGCTGAGGTTCCCGGTTCTGGCGGCGTCGTGGATCTGCTTCATGTTCTCCTGGACTTCGGCCTTGGCGTGTTTCAGGAGGTCGGCCTGACCCTGCACGAGACACAGGAAATGTTGGAAGAGGAGGGGTGTTGTGCATGTATCTCTATGGCAGAATGTTCAGCAGTTACTATGGAGACACTGTGCAGATGTTAGCAAATAAAATAAACAGGAACGTAACAAAATCCAAATCTTAAAATGTTCATAATCTGCAGCTCACCGTTCGATAAATAATATAATCCACTGAGTCACTGAGTCCTTTAGTCCAACACAAACTGAACCACATCAGCGACACAAGGAAAGAAATGATTTTTTTTTAGCTTAGTTTATGTAAATGAGTCATGTGATTTTAAGTTTAGTAAGTAAGTAAAACGTAAACAAATGTGCCCAAGCTGTGTGGATAGAGAAGGTTTTTAACGCAGAAACGACGTGTCTGGACGCAGATGGTTTTCGATACGGTCATACAGTGATACATTTCAGTGTAAACGTAAGAACACGAGCAGGAAAACACTGTAACAGCAGAAAAGCTCAAACTTATTTTTCTGGTGTTTGGAAAAGGAACCGTGAGGAACATTTGGTGTTTGTGGCTGTGTCAGGGCAGTGCTGTGTGATGTCACGTAGTACTTGAAAGAGCAGTGTCCACCGGAGGCAGCGCTCGCTCACGTTTAGACTCTGTGTCCCCACAAAGGACCAAAGGAGCAGCAGCGACTCACAGTCACAGCAGAACGAGGACGCACCTTCAGGATGGTGATGTTCCAGCTGAAGCTCTCCAGGGCTCTCGTGACCTTTCGACCTTTAAGCCCCTCCCTCGACGCCATGACCTGCAGCCCCTCGTGGAACTCCATGGCTGCAACACAAGAGCCACGTTTAGACCTGGTTTAGTCCTGGTTCAGTCCTGGTTCAGTCCTGGTTCAGTCCTGGTTCAGTCCTGGTTAAAACCTGCTTTTAGTCTTATTTAGTTCTGGATAAGACTGGCTTTAGTTTTCTTTAGTCCTGGTTTAGACCTGGTTTAGTCCCGGTTGAGACCTGGTTTAGTCCTGGTTGAGACCTGGTTTAGTCCTGGTTTAATCCTGGTTAAAATTAGCTTTAGTCCTTCTTTAGTCTTGGTTTAGTCCTGGTTCAGTGTCTGTAAAATCCTTGCTGTGAACTCAGTGCCCCTGCAGCTGTAGCTGAGTCTGCAGCACAAGTGTGTGTATGTGTGTCTCTTTGTGTGTGCGTCTGTGTGTGTCTCGTGTGTGTGTGTGTTTGTGTGTGTCTCTGTGTGTGTCTCTTGTGTTTGTGTGTGTGTGTGTTTGTGTGTCTCTTGTGTGTGTGTTTGTGTGTGTGTTTGTGTGTGTGTGTCTCTTGTGTGTGTATGTGTGTGTATGTGTGTGTATGTGTATGTGCGTCTCAGTAAATCACAACATTGCGTAACGTGGTAATATTATATCATGTATTTCACCGCGAGACCCCCCCGCCTCTGTTACCATGGCAACGTCCTGGGTCATTTGCCTCTGTTACCATGGCTACGCCCTGCCTGGGTCGGTCACCTCTGTTACCATGGAAACGCCCTATCTCCTATCTGTAGCCGTGGAAACGACCCAGGTCGGCCAGTGTCCTCTGTTACCGCGGGGAAAAATAAAATAAAACAAAAATAAATAAAAAAATAAACAAAATAAAGCTCTCGTGTCAGTGTCCTCTGTAACCACGAAAACGCTTCAGGTCAGTGTCCTCTGTAACCACGGAAACGCTTCAGGTCAGTGTCCTCTGTAACCACGGAAACGCTTCAGGTCAGTGTCCTCTGTAACCACGGAAACGCTTCAGGTCAGTGTCCTCTGTAACCACTTCAGGTCAACCACGGAAACGCTTCAGGTCAGTCAACCACGGAAACGCTTCAGTCCGCTGTAACCACGGAAACGCTTCAGGTCACTGTCCGCTGTAACCACGGAAACGCTTCAGGTCAGTGTCCGTCAGGAAACAGCTTCCAATTCAGGTCAGTGTTTCATTTTTACCGTTGTGTGGGACGTTTAAATCTCATTTTAACGTTTGTTTTTTCTGTCACTTATTTAGTTTCAGATTATGTCGTAAATGTGTTTAAAATGTCACTTTAAACACACACAAATGTTTGAAACCATTTTCATTTCCTGTTGTATTCTCTACGTTATCGGGACACCTGAAATATTCCGTCCGTCCAGAATAATACGTGACGTCAGTGAACGCGCACTGCCATATATGGGCGTAACGCAGGAGGGGGCGGGGCCACGGCGCTCACACTGATCAAGGGAGCAGCTCATACACTGCAAAAAGTTCGACCTAAAGTGAAGATAGAAAATCAGAAAATGACCTTAAAGTGTGAAATGATCTGTTCATGATCGAGAGAGAACGTTTTACTCGACGAGTTATATTAAAATAAATGAACTCGAGACAAGAGTGAAGTGTGTTTACGTCTTACATTTTGGCCAAGTGTTTTAGCTTTTTTCACTCCTCTACCTCCAGGCCTCAGTGAGCTTCATTTGCCTGGAGCTGGCGTCACACACTTTTCTTTTTCCAGTCTGTGGTTTGTTTTTTTACAGGTTTAAAAGTGTGTAACCTGCAGACAGACGAGTGCCTCACACACACAGAGGTAAAGTTGCGTAAGAGTTTTTCACATTTTCTTGTGAGTTGAATATTTTATAGGTTTTGTGCTTTGGGGTAAAAACAGAAACAGAGACGCATTGATTCTCTGAGTCAGCAGACGGATCAGATCTGCGTCAAAACGTTCTGTTTATGTCTCTGTTTTTTGCAAAACGGTGTCGACGTTTCCTCAGAACAGTTTTATCAATGTACAGAAATCCACAAATGATCTTAAAGTATAAAAAAAACACTGAAAATACAAAATCTCTAAAACTCTCCAACCTGAAACGTCCCTTGGAAAAACTAAAATGTGATTTATTTAAAAGTCTGTAAAAGTATCATTTTGTCGTCTTTGAGCAATAATAAAAGGATCATAATTGTGTAAATGTTTTTAAGGCATCAAACTGTTCCCGTCTGAAAGAATCTGTGTCATTCGTTCATTTGTTTTTCAAAAAAAAACAAAAAAACAACTATTTTATTATGAAAAAACAGATAATGATTAGTTTTTTTCAGTTTTCAATTTTGTGTTTAAATGAAAAAAAAAAAAAAAAACGGATAATGATTTTCCTATTTACTTAAACTGCGACACCAGCCTGAACCAGGACTAAACCAGGACTAAACCAGAACTAAACCAGAACTAAACCAGGACTAAACCAGGACTAAACCAGAACTAAACCAGGTCTAAACCAAGACTAAACCAGAACTAAACCAGAAATAAACCAGAACTAAACCAGGACTAAACCAGAACTAAACCAGGACTAAACCAGGACTAAACCAGGTCTAAACCAGAACTAAACCAGGACTAAACCAGAACTAAACCAGAACTAAACCAGGTCTAAACCAGGTCTAAACCAGGACTAAACCAGGACTAAACCAGGACTAAACCAAGACTAAAACAGGACTAAAACAGGACTAAAACAGGACTGAACCAGATCTAAACCATGTCTAAACTGGTCTCAGTCCCGGTCTGGTCCCGGTCTCAGTTAAAATAAAACAAAAAATAAAAAACAATCAAATCGAGTGTAGAAAAAATTAATTAATTAATTAATTGAAATTAAATTTAAATACAAAATTTTAAAGAATTAGGAGTCAAGTGAAGTAAATAAATAAATAAAAAGAAAGAAAGACAGAAATACATAATTAAATAAAAAGGAATAAGTAAAAAAAAAAAAATATATATATATATATATATATATATATATATATATATATATAATAATAATAATAATATAATTGGAGTCAAGTTCCATATTAGGAACTCCAAGTACAAGTCTCCTCCCTCTCTCTAACTCTCTGTCTCTCGTTCAGACCACAGCAGCCAGAGTCTTATCTCCTGCCATCTCCAGACATGTGGCCGCACACAGGAGTCACTCACGAGTCACTCACGGGTCACTCACGGGTCACTCACGGGTCACTCACGTCACATATTATTGTCTGTGTCACTGTCGTCCAATCAGAGCCTGTATCGAGTCTCTGCTGTGTCAGGTTTTATAAAAAGTGGAGAATCAATTACAACTTTTCTTCCCCATGACCCAAGTTGTTTGACCAGTTTTACATTTTTAAAGGCGCAGTACTCGATTTTCAGAGTAAAATAGAAATAAAACTTTTGGATATTCTTCTTGGAAAAGGCAGAAAATACACAGTCTAAATGAAAACAGTGGTAGAAGTGAATTATATGCAGTGTAAGTTTGAAAAGCAGAGGTCAGTGAGGCTGTTTTTAAAGTGTGTGTTCTGTTCACTCGTCCTGAGGCCGTCTGCTATAAAAAGATCTGAAACAGATTTGAGATTTTTTCTGATTACGCTGGAATTTTCACACCTGGTTTAATCTCTGCTGCTTCTGGAGAATCATCTGTGTTTGCAAAATGGCTGAGGGTGCAGAGGAGGAGGTCTGAGGGTGCAGAGGAGGAGGAGGTCTGAGGGTGTAGAGGAGGAGGTCTGAGGGTGTAGAGGAGGAGGTCTGAGGGTGCAGAGGAGGAGTCTGAGGGTGTAGAGGAGGAGGTCTGAGGGTGTAGAGGAGGAGGTCTGAGGGTGCAGAGGAGGAGGTCTGAGGGTGTAGAGGAGGAGGTCTGAGGGTGTAGAGGAGGAGGGTCTTGAGGGTGTAGAGGAGGAGGGTCTGAGGGTGTAGAGGAGGAGGTCTGAGGGTGTAGAGGAGGAGGTCTGAGGGTGTAGAGGAGGAGGAGGTCTGAGGGTGCAGAGGAGGAGGGTTTGAGGGTGCAGAGGAGGAGGTTGAGGGTGTAGAGGAGGAGGGTTTGAGGGTGTAGAGGAGGAGGGTTTGAGGGTGTAGAGGAGGAGGTCTGAGGGTGTAGAGGAGGAGGTCTGAGGGTGTAGAGGAGGAGGTTTGAGGGTGTAGAGGAGGAGGTCTGAGGGTGTAGAGGAGGAGGTCTGAGGGTGTAGAGGAGGAGGGTTTGAGGGTGAGGAGGTTTGAGGAGGGTTGAGGGTGTAGAGGAGGAGGGTTTGAGGGTGTAGAGGAGGGGTTTGAGGTGTAGAGGAGGAGGTCTTGAGGGTGCAGAGGAGGAGGTCTGAGGGTGTAGAGGAGGAGGTCTGAGGGTGCAGAGGAGGTCTGAGGGTGTAGAGGAGGAGGTCTGAGGGTGAGGGAGGAGGTCTGAGGGTGTAGAGGAGGAGGGTTTGAGGGTGCAGAGGAGGAGGTCTGAGGGTGTAGAGGAGGAGGGTTTGAGGGTGCAGAGGAGGAGGTCTGAGGGTGTAGAGGAGGAGGGTTTGAGGGTGTAGAGGAGGAGGGTCTGAGGGTGTAGAGGAGGAGGTCTGAGGGTGTAGAGGAGGAGGTCTGAGGGTGTAGAGGAGGAGGTCTGAGGTGTAGAGAGGAGGTCTGAGGGTGTAGAGGAGGTTTGAGGTGTAGAGGAGGAGGTCTGAGGGTGTAGAGGAGGAGGGTCTGAGGTGCAGAGGAGGAGGGTCTGAGGGTGTAGAGGAGGAGGGTGAGGGTGTAGAGGAGGGTCTGAGGGTTAGAGGAGGAGGTCTGAGGGTGAGGTAGAGGAGGAGGAGGGTCTGAGGGTGTAGAGAGAGGAGGTGAGGGTGTGAGAGGAGGTCTGAGGTGTAGAGGTCGAGGGTGTAGAGGGAGGAGGTCTGAGGGTGTAAGAGGAGGAGGTCTGAGGGTGCAGAGGAGGTGAGGGTGTAGAGGAGGAGGTCAGGGTGTAGAGGAGGAGGTCTGAGGGTGTAGAGGAGGAGGAGGGTCAGGGAGGGAGGTGAGGGTGCAGAGGAGGAGGGTTGAGGGTGTAGAGGAGGAGGGTTTGAGGGTAGCTGAGGAGAGGAGGAGGTCTGAGGGTAGAGGGGAGGAGGTCTGAGGGTGTAGAGAGGAGGAGTCTGAGGGTGTAGAGGAGGAGGTGAGGGTGTAGAGGAGGAGGTCTGAGGGTCAGAGAGGAGGTCTGAGGGTGCAGAGGAGGAGGTTTGAGGGTGCAGAGGAGGAGGTTTGAGGGTGCAGAGGAGGAGGTCTGACCTGTGGTCTGGATGTGGAGGATCTTCTGGTGGAGTCCGTCACTTTGCTCCATCACAGCTCGACTCGCCTGAACCATCTGAGACAAGAGAAGAAACACACAACAGAATAAAGAGACATTCCACATGTTCACACACACACACACACACACACACACACACACACACACACACACACACACACACACACACACACACACACACACACACACACACACACACACACACAGTGTGTAAAAGTTTAAGAAAACAACACAGACTTTTAATTCATCCTATTTACAGTTTCTCCAAAATGTTTTTCCCCGAAGTCAAAGCAACAGACTTTTCCTGACAGAAGATTTAGGAGAAACACCAGAAAGAATGACCACCACAAACACTGACCACCACAAACACTGACCACCACAAACACTGAACACTGACCACCACAAACACTGACCACCACAAACACACAAACACTGACCACCACAAACACTGACCACCACAAACACTGACCACCACAAACACTGACCACCACAAACACCACCAAAAACACTGACCACCACAAACACTGACCACCACAAACACTGACCACCACAAACACACTGACCACCACAAACACTGACCACCACAAACACTGACCACCACCACACTGACCACACAAACTGACCACACAACACTGACCACCACAAACACCACAAACACTGACCTCCACAAACACTGACCACCACAAACACTGACCACCACAAACACTGACCACACAAACACTGACCACCACAAACACTGACCTCCACAAACACTGACCTCCACAAACACTGACCACCACAAACACCATGACCACTGACCACACAACACCACAAACACTGACCTCCACAAACACTGACCTCCACAAACACTGACAAAACACTGACCTCCACAAACACCACAAACACTGACCACCACAAACACTGACCACCACACAACACTGACCACCACAAACACTGACCACCACAAACACTGACCACAAACACTGACCACCACAAACACTGACCACTCCACAAACACTGACCACCACAAACACTGACCACCACAAACACTGACCACCACAAACACCACAAACACTGACCACCACAACACTGACCACCACAAACACTGACCACCACAAACACTGACCACCACAAACACCACAAACATGAAAGAGTTTTTGGTGGAGCAGAACCTCAGAAGTGACCAGAGCTGTGACGTGTCACTCTTCATCATTTCAGGTCAAGTAAACTTAAAACTGCACGTCATGTTGAATTATCTTTGTCTAATATTTAAGTGCCAATTTTATTTATTAAAGGAACAAAAGAAAAGTGATCTGAACCTAGACGTGAAAAACTACTTCCCTCTAAACCTGAGAACCTGCAGCAGTCGAGCGTTTGTGAAAACGTTTAATGAATCTGTCATGTTGCTGTGGAGGATCTTTGTGCCGCTCGTCTTTGCTGCGTTGTTTTAAATCAGTCGGAGGGTTTCGTCGCTGTTTTCAGGTGGCGCCGCAGCGTCTCCAGGGTTCAGGTCTGGACTTGGACTAGACTCTGTACCGCAGAAATCCTGGCTTCGTGTGGTGGAGGATTTCACCGAGTGACGAGGGAGGATCATCCAGAACAAAAAGTGAAAGTGACTCCAGCTCAGGGGGAGACTGGAGCTGCTGATCGAACTCAACCGGAGCTTTTCTGGTCCACAGGGTTTGAGTGAAACAGACAAAACAGCCCAAAGACGAGACTCGATTTACTGAGACTAGAGAAAGAAACGTACCACACGATCTGAAAAACATCAGCAGGTTCAGTCCGTGTGTCGTTCGTTCATTCACATTTCAAAATAAAACCAAAAATAAGAAAATAAAATAAACAAAAAAAAAACAATTTTCTTCATGATTTGTCTTCAAAACCAAAATGAAAAAACAGATTGTGTTTTTTCAGTTTTCAATTTTGTGTTTAAATGAATAATAGAAAAAACGGATAACGGACTAAACCAGGACTAAACCAGGACTAAACCAGGACTAAACCAGGACTAAACCAGGACTAAACCAGGACTAAACCAGGACTAAACCAGGACTAAACCAGGACTGATCCAGGACTGATCCAGGACTAAACCAGGACTAAACCAGGACTAAACCAGGACTAAACCAGGACTAAACCAGGACTAAACCAGGACTAAACCAGGACTAAACCAGGACTGATCCAGTGTCATTAGTAGAGTATAAATATAAACACACTGCGGTCATCGAGCCGATCTCCTTCACTGATGGTTTTATGTCATAAAAATACTAAAGTCTCTCTCAGTCTGGTTCATTGTTCTGGGAGAAATATCACTTGTTTCCAGGGGATTGGACTCCCTGGAGACGGAGTCCAAGACGCAGGTCAGGGGCGTCTAAACTCAAATGCAAAGACGTCGAAATAAAGACATCCAGGGCTTTTTTTGACACCGCGGTCTGAACCTTAAGATTTGAAATAAACTCGTTGCTATAAAAGAAGAAACATGTTTGTTTACACAATTGCAACGATTTTTCAGGAAAGTCCTTCGAGCAGCAGAACTTTAAACTGAAACAAAGCACAACTCCAGGTCTGTTTTTGAGGAGGGAACATGACTTTGAGGAGCACTGCGTGACTTTTCAGGTTGGGCCTTTTCTTCCATGGAGATGCAGTTTCTTTCCCTGGAATGTTCCACAATATGGTTTTAAACTTATATAAAATGTATTTACTCAATTAAGGGTGTTTTTATTGCTCAAAAATACCCTTTAAATGTGCATTCTGACTGTGAGCGGAGTCGCCTTTTCACAGATCTGACTTGTACATTGGCCTGGTGGTGTCTCCTGTTTGTTTCTATGGAGACTGAAAGCTTTAATGCCGCACTTTGGAATATTGGAGGTAAAAGTTACACACAGCACCAAGAGTCAGTTGAGTGTAAAATAAAAACATTTACATAAGTGTGACTCACCAGCTCGTAGGTGGTGACGAGGCGGCGCAGGATCTCCGGCAGGGGCCCCACAGGCTCCAGGACGGGGTACTGGTCCCTGAGGTCGAACAGCAGCAGAGGGGCCCCGTCCGGCCCCCACACGCTGGAGCTCAGGGCCAACACACACTGCATGAGGCTCGCCACCGCAGACACGCCGCAGAGCTCCCGGAACAGACCGATGGAATTCTGTCACACACAACGAGACGGGGAATCAGAGACCTGGATTAGACCTGGATTAGACCTGGATTAGACCTGGATTAGACCTGGATTAGACCTGGTTTAGACCTGGTTTAGTCCTGGTTTAGAGACCTGGATTAGACCTGGTTTAGACCTGGATTAGACCTGGATTTAGACCTGGATTTAGACCTGGATTTAGACCTGGTTTAGACCTGGTTTAGACCTGGATCAGACCTGGATTAGACCTGGTTTAGACCTGGATTTAGACCTGGTTTAGACCTGGATTAGACTGGTTAGACCTGGTTTAGACCTGGTTTTAGACCTGGTTTAGACCTGGATAGAACCTGGTTTATTTAGACCTGGATTTAGACCTGGTTTAGACCTGGTTTAGACCTGGTTTAGACCTGGATTTTAGACCTGGTTTAGACCTGGTTTAGACCTGATTTAGACCTGGTTTAGACTGGTTTAGTCCTGATTTAGACCTGGATTAGACCTGGTTTAGACCTGGTTTAGACCTGGTTTAGTCTTGATTTAGACCTGGTTTAGACCTGGTTTAGTTTTTAGACCTGGTTTAGACCTGGTTTAGACCTGGTTTAGTCCTGGTTTAGACCTGGTTTAGTGGTTTTAGTCCTGGTTTAGACCTGGTTTAGACCTGGTTTAGACCTGGTTTAGACCTGGTTTAGTCCTGGTTTAGACCTGGTTTAGACCTGGTTTAGACCTGGATTAGTCCTGGTTCATAGATATAAGGACACATGGGAATAGAGAAGAAAGTTCTTCCATTTAAAGCTGTAAATCACATTAAGTCCATCTCTGTTCCTCTCACATGCAGATCTTCTCACCTGCATGTTCTCCCTGAGGTCCGTGGCCTCTCTCCTCACCTGCATGTTCTCCCTGAGGTCCGTGGCCTCTCTCCTCACCTGCATGTTCTCCCTGAGGTCCGTGGCCTCTCTCAGCAGGGGGCCGGCCATCTTAAAGGCCTCGTCCACAGGCCTCAGCCCCAGGTCCCTCAGGGCGGTGTACTCTCGGCCTTTTCGGGTCTTCCTCACGGACAGGCCTCGTTTGTGGGGCTTGCCTCCCCCTCGGCGGTTGGTGAGGGCCACGTGGACGAAGAGGCGGGCGTGGGGCAGCTCCTCGCCGGTGAGGGACTGCAGGGGCACGTGTCTGTACCCGGGGAGGAGGCACTCCAGAGGGATGGTGTACTGACCTGAGGAGGAGAACCATGGTTACGTTCATGTTCTCCAACACACAGCTCCATTTACTAAGGTCCACATTTAATCACAGTTCACATGGTTGGAAGAGCTGGGAGATTTGACAAAAACATGATCACTGACCATAAGAAATGTCTAGATCTCTATTAAAACTGGATTAATTACACAAACCGCAAAAGTGATAACAGTGAACTTTGAGTTTAAAGTGGAACGAAACCCTAAATCTACTTATTTACTTATCTTCTGTCCCCTGAGCTTTTTTGTAATTTAGGTAAATCAGATAAATGTTACTTCTTTATTTGTAAAGGGACAGTACATATTATGAATATTTAAAATATAAATGTAAAGATTAAAGCAGCGTTGCTCTTCAGTCCCTCGGCTTCAGTTTGACGCGCACAAAAGAACACAACACCAGCACACACACTGTACACACAATATCTGCAGCTTTGTGGTCAAACATGTACAAACACATGTACTTCCTCCAGTGTTCACTGCAGCCTCACGTACTACATGACACTACACATGACTGTGTGCTCTGGTGATGAGGTAAAACAGAAACTGTAATACCACATGACATCACAAGGTGGAACAGAGTGTTTTCTGTTTGAGAAAAGAACTCAATGTAAATCTACAGGGTTTGTGTGTTAAACGTGTGAATGAACCAAAACTCAACTCCAGGTCTGTTTGTGATGAGGAAGTAACATTCTAACATAGACCACAGTGTAATGTGGCCCTTTAACGAGTAACTCTCCAGTGTGACCGTGACCCCCGGCCCCGCCCACCTATGAACTCGTCCCCGATGAAGTGGTCGTCCAGCACCACGAAGCGCACCATGGCGAGCTCGGGGAGGTTGATCTGGAAGTCGAAGCTCTCGTCAAAGATGGGGTTGTCTCCGTTGTAGGTGACGGTCCTGGTCCTCCTCTCGGTGCAGTCCGCCGGGATCCCGTGCACCTCCACGTACACGTACGGGTCCACCACGTCCCCTTTGGCCCCGGAGCCTTTGGGTTTGGGCAGGTTCTGACCACTGATCACCTACAAAAACCATGAACACAGAGGATTACTCGCCTGACCAGCCAGTCTCTTCTACAATCACCGAACCCAGAACCACCCCAGACCACAGAGGGAGAAGAACCTCCGTCCAAACCACAGACAGACCAGATACGAGGTAAACATGTTCAGATCAAATCAGCTTTTACTGATAATCATTGTAATGCAGATTTATTCTTAATTACAAAAACACTGGACACTTGGAGCTGGTACCTTGACGTGCAGCAGCTGCGGGGACACGCCGGGCACACAGTCCCTGGTGTCTGCGCTGAAGTAGGACACCTCCTGCCTCATGATGCCCGGCCGCAGCACGTACCCGCAGTTCCCGTTCTGCCGGAACCAGGCGGCCGCCAGGTCCATCATCAGCCCGGCCGTCTGGAAGTTCATGGCCACCAGCTGGCAGCCGCACTTCCACAGGTCCAGGGGGTTCATGTTGCTGGAGTCCACGCGCATGGGGCTGGGGTACACGCGCGTCAGGAAGTGCTTATTATGGTTCACAAAGTCCCCTGGACTGTCCCCGGCCAGCCTGAGTGCCAGGGCCTCGTGCAGTGAGCACATCTCCCACGGCTTCTGAGTCCTGGACGAGGTCTGGAAGTCCACGAAGCGCACGGAGGAGCAGAGCGTCACCAGGTCTGACAGCTCCTTCAGCAGCCTGAACTTCCTGGGTGAAGTTTTCTGAGGACTGGCATTTGCGGAGACGTTTAGCGATACATTTTTCTGCTCCTTTTCTCCGCTATTTGTGGCTTTCATTTTGGCCACCATGTCTGCACCTTCATCCTCCTCGCTGACCTCGCCCTCCTTCACCGCGCCCAACCCGAGCTTCTTCCCCTTCAGTAAAATCCGATGTTTTAAGGCTTGTGGCGATGGTAAGTACAGATCTCCTTCCTTTGGCTCATCTCGGTACAGTTTATCCCCCAGTATCCTCAGCAGGTGTTCCACCATCACCTTCTGCTGCCGCAGGGAGCAGTGGTTCTCCAGGCACAGGATGAGCGGGTAATCCGAGGCCACGAAGGCGAAGCGCCCGATGGCTTCCAGGACGCAGTGAAAGACGAGAGGAGGGGAGAGGGTGTGTCCGGCACAGACCACGGGCTCGTCTCCATCTCCGTCCCAAACGTCCACCTCCACGCAGCGGCAGCCCATACGCAGCGCCCGGATGTACCCGGACAGGTCGGAGGGCCCGCGGTACTGGTCCTCGATGAGGTAGGTGTTGTGGGAGGAGCTGATGTAGTAGTGAGACAGGGGCTGGCTCATGTCCTGGCACACCAGCTTATGGTCACGGTCGAACAGGTGGCACTCGGGGGAGGTCAGGTAACTGGTGAAGCCGTCCAGAGAGAGGAAGGCCTGCTCCCGGCCCTGAGCCGACGGCTCATGGGTCTGGATCAGCTTCAGGGCCGTGTCCTCGCTCACCTGGGCACAGGGGACAGAGGAGGGTATGGAGGATTTTGTTTATATAAGAATAATAATACATGACACACAAAGATACTTCACACAGTTCAAGACAAAACACAAAAGAAAGAAACAGATAAAAAAGAGATGCACTTGAGGCAGTTGAGAAGTTTTGAACAGGTGAGTGTTCAGGTCTTTTTTGAAGATGGTGAGAGGAGATGATTCTCTGCACTTTATGACACACACTGTATCTTGCGTTTTCTATTTGATGCCTTCTGTATGTGTATAAAATGAAGAAAGAAAAGGAAAGAATACACTGAAAGAGAAGGAGTGTTGGACTGGTAGTGTATGATCCTCTGCACGTGCTCGGAGGTACAGAGTCTGGGAGCTTTGTGTTACCCACATGAGTCATGCCCTGCTCGGCCTCCAGGAAGCGGCTCAGGTCTTTGGTGTCCAGATACTCCTTGTTGCTGGAGAACTTCACGAGCAGGAAGTAGATCTCTGGTCGCGTGCAGAAGTCGTGGAACACCTGGATGAAGTCGGCTCTGGAGACCCTCTCGTTCCTGAGCGCTCGGCCCGTCCTCCTGCCCTCTGCCTGAGGACGACACAACGAGCAGACGCTTTCAAGATGTGTTATACGGCCTGTATGCAGTTATAATGCTGTTTCTTCATCACAAACACACCTGGAGTTGTGTTTCGTTTCATTCACATGTTTAACACACAAACCTGCACACAGGCGGAGTTCTTCTCTCAAACTAAAAACACTCTGTTCAACCTTGTTGGACTCTGACAAGCAAAACTTCTCTTTAATGAGCTGAAACTATCTATAAAAAAAATCACTTAAGAACTTCATTTATCACTATGGCAGAATACTTGACCAATACAAATTTTTTAACTGGGACAACATGATCAAATCTGCAGAGTTAAGTTGTACAAAGTTTTTAATAATCTTGCTCCTGGAGTTTGTGAGAAGAAATCCAAATCAACAACAAGAGCAGCTCTAGAGGCGGCCGCTCTGTCGTTTAGGAAAAGTTCTTTTGGACAAACTCTTTTGCTTATGGAGCAGCTCAGACATGAAACACAGAGAAGCTCATGTACGAGAACTTTCAGCACTGCAGCGTTTTCTAAAGCTTTAAAAGAACTGTTGTTCACCACTCAAATATGTCGCCATGTTTAACAAAATTACATTTGTTATATCGAGGTTTTTTTTTACTTCAAATGAACTGTCTGAAATCTGCACAGTGTGTGTGTTGTGTGTACAGTGTGTGCTGGTGTTGTGTACTTCTGTGTGATTGTTGTTGTACTTTTCTCAGTCCTGTAGATGATTTCACATCAACCTGTCGAGGGACTGAAGACGGAAATGAGCCATGCTGCTTTAATCCTTGCATATTTACATTTTAAATGCTCATTAACATGTGCTGTAGCCTGATTGATCAGCTGGTTTCACTTCATGGAAACCGTCTGACCTTGCAGTGTTAGGACTTGTTCACTCGACAGTAGGCGGGTACTTTTGTTATTTAACCAATCGCTGCTGTTTGGTTTGACGTATGTAATGCGCCGCAAACGGGGATAACTGGTATATTAAGCTTTTCCCAAATCCCATAGGAAGAAGGACAATAACATCCTTCACCTTGATGAAACTCAATTAATTCCTTGATCTCAGGAATCGTTGCCAACACGGAATGTCTGGCTCGTCTCTGATTGGCTGGCGCTTGAACTCACTTATGGGGTTTTGTGAGCGGAGGCACTAGGTGGAGCCAGACTGGCTATATGTGGTGTCCCTTTACAAATAAATAAATAAGAAATAAGAAATGTCATGTGGTGATACACCTTCACTAGAATCATTTGGATCATTTCAGCTCTGGAATCTCGACTGAACTGAAGATAAAAGGTACAAACTACAGTTTCATGACATCACAAGTTGGAACAGAGCATTTTGGGCTATGAAGCTGTAGAGAGACTAATCATAAAGAGTTATTCAAACAAGTGAATGAAACAAAACACAAGTCCAAGTCTGTTTTGAAGGAATAGATGTGTTAGAAAATGACTTGAAGCTCACAAAAGTCATTTAGGTGTAATATAGAACATTAAAGGAGAGGGTTATTATGGTGCAGAATTGACCTTTTGGAATTTTCTATCATGTTTTAACATTGTTCCCTCAGCGTGAAGTGCTTTTTTATGTCATCCATGCATGTTTGAGTAATCTAGGGATCTCTCCTGAGCTAAAATGACTAAGTAAACATCAAAACATACGTCTAATTTTGTTCTGGTTGTTTCTTACCTCATGCAGTTGAACGCCTCTCCTAATCTGTGCCTAATGTATTCAGACTTTGCTGTTATGTTCAGAGGTGGGCAGTACTTTTACTCAGTTACATTTACTCGAGTAACCTTTTAAAGAAATTGTACTTTCCAGAGTACTTTTCCAGCAGTGATGTTTGTAAAACGAGTAGAGTTGTAGGTGTGTGGATCTTACCTCAGCCTCTGCTCCGTTGGTCAGTCCGTCTGTGCCCCTGTCGCCTGTGCTCCTGTCGCCTGTGCTCCTGTCGCCTGTGCCCCTGTCGCCTGTGCCCTGTCGCCTGTGCCCCTGTCGCCTGTGCCCCTGTCGCCTGTGCCCCTGTCTCTGGCCCTCTGCAGCTCTCTGAAGCGCTGTTCCAGTTTGGTGCTGGTCACTCCGGGGTTCACTCCCTGGATGAGCCTGACCGCCGACAGGAGGCGGAGTCCCTGCTCCTCCTCCTCCAGACGCTCCGCCTCCTCCGCCTTGGTGAACATGTGCTCCAGCCAGCCCACGCGCACGCTGTCCTGAGAGCGCGCCAGCAGGTCCAGAGCCCCGCGCCCGTACTGCACCAGGTACCTGCCACAGGGTCAGAAGGATCCAAAGTCACATTCTAACAATCCTCAATTTTTCTCAGGTATTTATACTAAGGCCCCATTCACACTAGTGTGTATGTGAGTGGTGTTGTTGTGGGTGCAGTGTTCGTTCACATTAATCTGATGGAAAATGGCTCCAGAACGATCTGGTGCCTCCAGCTCCACGAGTTCATGTTGGTCCAGATGTGATGGGGACTGTGGGACTCCTGAAAACTCTGATACTCTGATTTAGGAGCTGGAGTCTCGTCCTGATTGGACACGTCACTGTGACTCGCTCCTTCTGATTCTCTGGGTTCGTAACGTCGTCATGTGACGATATTGAATAAAATTGTTTAAACACACCAGGAGCACCCACAAGCACCCACCAGCACCTAGGAGCACCCACACGCATTCAGAAGCACCCAGGAGCACACACAAACACACACAAGCACCCAGGAGGCACCCAGGAGGCACCCAGGAGCACCCAGGAGCACCCAGGAAGCACCCAGAAGCACCCATACACATTCAGAATCACCCAGGAGCACCCACAAGCACCCGGGAGCACTCAGGAAGGATACACAAGCACCCAAAATCACCCGGGAGCATCCAGAATGACCCAGAAGCACCTACAAGCACCAAGGAGCACCCAAAATCACCCCGAGGCACCCAGAAGCACCCAGAGTTCAGCCTAACACCACCAGATCATCATGAGTCACAAACACTGGGCTCACGTCTGAGTCTGAATCTCCACGAGGCTGAGTCAGAGTCGCACTGTGGTGAATCTGACCAGAGGCGACGCCAACACCAGGAAAAGACTCAAACCGAAAACTGTTTATGTAAAAACACAGAACAAACAGCAGCTGACGAAGTGAAACGAAGACACAAAACTCAACGTCTACTGGGTCCACCAAACCTCTGAAGTCTAGTTCCTGCAGAAGCCTTAATTCTTTTAGTTTTTCTTTAATAACATCAAAAATTATTAACTTAGTCCAGTGGTATCAATGGTTGAATATAGTTGAATATAAATATGGACATTGTGGATCATTTGGTTCAGTTTTATGTCTCTATCATCATTAATTTCTGAGATGTGGCAAAAGTCTAATTTCTTTGGGACTTCAAGGATCTTGAATAAGCGACAGATCCTGAATTGTAACAAATGTAACACACATTATGGAACTTGAAATAAACAAATTTAGAACTCAAAAGACTTGAAACTGTGAAAAGTAAAATCTTTAATAGAGGTATTATTATATCATGACGTTTTCAGACGTGTGCACTGTAACCTACTTGTCAAAGCATCAATAAGAAATAGGAATGTGCAAAAATATTGAAATATTGATATATCGTATCGTTTTATCTGATAAATCTCTGATCACTACAAAAAAAACTAACTTTATGTCTCTCATTTCATCTTTGGCCTTTGTGGTTTTTGGGTAATTATGAAAAAACACTCAAAATCTGAACAAAATTGTCATATCGTAAAATAGAAAAAGGACGGCAGAGGCTCTGATTTGCTGTGAATTTATTAATAGTCACGCCAATGCGTTTCGACTACTTGGTCTTCATCGGGGCTGATGAAAATGGTCATATCATTGAAAATTATGGAGATGTGTGATGATTGAGATTATGATATATATATATATATATATATATATATATATATATATATATATATATATATATATATATAAATTCAGCCAGAGCCTTATGGACATCGTTAAAATGGAATTTAAGAGACTCGATGGACCCAGTAGATTTTATTCAGTTGAGCAAATATTCCATAGATTTTCTTTTTATTGGTATGGTCACCCTAATCTCCACGGCAACTGCTGAACATCCCGCCATAGACAAACATGTTCGATATCATGGCTAAATCCTAATAGGAGTGTGTTCCACGACTGAGGCTCTGACCTGAGTCCAGTGACCCAGATGTTTGCCACCTCTGCGCTGTGGGCCACCAGGTCCAGGCTGTCGTACAGGTCTCCGTAGATGATGGAGAAGGCACAGTCCTCAGAGATCTGATCGTAGAGCCCACTGCAGCGGAACGTCTCCGTGTTCCGCCCGGTACGAATCTGCGACCGCACAAAAGGAAAACAAGGGCGCGGAGATTAAAGGAACGGACTCCTGTGAGCGTTTTTACTGTGTGAAGAAGAGACTGAAGGACCGCTCCAGTCGAACGAAGCGCACCGAGGCTCGCAGTTATACAAGCGAATTTGAGCTGAATTTCATATTAGGGATAGGAATTTATTTACAGACAAAATAGGGTAAATTATAGTGGTAATAGAGTACAAAACTTACCTAATACAAATCTATTAATCAATCATCATTACCAGTTTTTTATGGTGGGAGAGGGTATTAAACTCTCGGACGAGCCCCCAGTTTGTTAACGACCCATCTCGTTAAAAAAACCAAGATGGATAATGAAATAAATTAAATAGTGTTTAATTAAAAGGGATGTAAAAGGTAAAATAACAAAACAGACTAAAATAAATGAAACTAAGAAACAAAACAAGAGAATTACACAGTTTTGTGCCACAAAACTCAGGGTCACACAAAAACGAGGTTAAACCAAGGGGACACACAAAACTAAAACAAAACAAAATATAAAAAGGCACAAAAAAGAACTAACTAGTATCTCAACCAAAATATCATGATGTCGTATCGTCAAAGTTCTTTCAATAACATCGTGGACCATCACAATATATCGAATCACAAGTCTCTTTGTTTAAATGAAGAGTTATGGAGCAGCAACAGCTAAAAAACACAGAAGAACTACATAGACCATGATCCTTTGCTCCATTTCTGTGCAGATGACAAGAAGAAATAACAGTTCTAAGTTTTGTCGAGGCGTTTTAAGAGGAAAAAGTCGCATATTCACAGTTTTGTTTGCAGCCTCCACAAAATATTGCAATAAATATTGTACGGTGAGATGTATATTGTGAAAATATCGTACGGAGAGATTTGGATATCGTTACATCCCTAATCGTGAGTCTCCCCACCATATCTCAATAAATATCGTACTGTGAGGTTCAAAACGTGACGATACTGTATTTATTCCTAGTTCAGTCCTGGTTTAGTCCTGGGTCAGTCCAGGAATCAGTCCTGGGTTAGTCCTGGGTTGATCCTGGGTTAGTCTTGGTTCAGTCTGTGGTGTGTTTCTTCCGCTCATTAAATAATCCCTGTGCAGTGACGACAGTCGAGTCGCATCTGTGATTTCGTGTTCGTACTGAAGAAAGTGAAACCGTTTTGTTTCATTTGGTGATTTTAATTCTTGAAGTCGTAACTTTTCAATTCATTTTCTGATGGACGCTTCAGTTAGAATGATTTTAATCTGTGTGCGATTTATCACGGGTCCGGGCGGGTAACGGGTCTCCAAAAACGGATCTGTGAGTGTGTGTGTGGTTCTGAGTGTGTCTGTGTGTGTGTCTGAGTGTGTTTGAGTGTGGTTCTGAGTGTGGTTCTGAGTGTGGTTCTGAGTGTGTTTGAGTGTGGTTCTGCGTGTGGTTCTGCGTGTGGTTCTGTGTGGTTCTGCGTGTGGTTCTGAGTGTGGTTCTGAGTGTGGTTCTGCGTGTGGTTCTGCGTGTGGTTCTGCGTGTGGTTCTGCGTGTGGTTCTGCGTGTGTTTGAGTGTGGTTTGTGTGTGGTTCTGCGTGTGGTTCTGCGTGTGGTTCTGCGTGTGGTTCTGAGTGTGTTTGAGTGTGGTTCTGCGTGTGGTTCTGCGTGTGGTTCTGTGTGGTTGAGTGTGGTTCTGCGTGTGGTTCTGCGTGTGGTTCTGAGTGTGTTTGAGTGTGGTTCTGCGTGTGGTTCTGCTGCAGTGCTGACAGTCCAGTGCTGATGTGTTCTGCGTGTGCCTTGTCGGACTCTTTCTTGGACGGTTCCCAGCCCAGAGCCTGGAGCCCCGTGTCCAGCAGGAAATATCTGTGATACACACGAGAGTTTGGACGAACTTTCTTCAGCTCACTGCCCTCCACCTGAAACACACACACACACACACACACACACACACACACACACACACACACACACACACACACACACACACACACACACACACACACACACACACACACACACACACACACACACACACACACACACACACACACACACACACACACACACACACACACACACACACACACACACACACACACACACACACACACACACACACACACACACACACACACACACACACACACACACACACACACACACACACACACACACACACACACACACACACACACACACACACACACACACACACACACACACACACACACACACACACACACACACACACACACACACACACACACACACACACACACACACACACACACACACACACACACACACACACACACACACACACACACACACACACACACACACACACACACACACACACACACACACACACACACACACAAACACACACACACAAAAGTGGTATTATTTGTAGTAAAAGCAATAAATAGAAATATTGAGTGTTGGCAAACACTTAAATCTGTTGTACTGGAAATAGTAAAGAAACAGAAAAAGCTGACTCTGCATCCTTAGCCAGTTAGGCTTTAAAACTTAGTTCATTTTTACCTCTGTCGACTTTTAAAAACTCCATTCAGAGTATTTTAAAGGATAATTGCCTAAATGACGATTTCGATTATTCCATGTTCCTCTGAAACTTATAAAACTTTCCTTAATGTATACAGATGTTTTGGTCTGTGGTCCAGTGTGTCCTGTTGTGTTTTTATTTATTTCTCTGCAGATGTGATGGACACAACACTTCCTGCTGTTTTGTGGGTTTGCCCGTCACCTTTACTTTCCTCATGGTTTTTCTAAACTTTTTCATTTCTTTTTCCTTTAGTCATGTGATCTCGTCATGTGATTGATATGCAGTGATGGGAAGGTGACTTTTAAAATGTAATCCCCTACAGATTACAGATTACATACCTCAAAATGTAGTTTGTAACGGAATCCATTAAATTACTTAAAGTGAGTAATGTAATCTGAATACTTTGGATTACTTGGTTTGCTGTAGAGAAGCAAAGACGAGGAAATCTTATATGTCACATAAGATGTTTTGTCTGATAAAAGAAAATAAAAAGCCCAGACTTTACTGAACCAAATTAAAAATATTATGGATAGAAGACGAGGAGACATGGTCCACATGGCATGGTTTAGTCCTGTTAAATCTTGTTTGAGACATAGTTTAGACCTGGTTTAGACCTGGTTTAGACCTGGTTTAGACCTGGTTTAGGACCTGGTTTAAGACCTGGTTTGGACCTGGTTTAGACCTGGTTTTAGACCTGGTTTAGACCTGGTTTAGACCTGGTTTAGACCTGGTTTAGACCTGGTTTGGACCTGGTTTGGACCTGGTTTAGTTTAGACCTGGTTTAGTCCTGGTTTAGACCTGGTTTAGACCTGGTTTAGTCCTGGTTTAGACCTGGTTTGGACCTAGTTTAGACCTGGTTTGGACCTGGTTTGGACCTGGTATAGACCTGGTTTAGATCTGGTTTCGTGTCTGGCAATGTGTGGAATTACCGAAAAAAAAAAAAAAAAAAAAAAGGGATTTAGCCCAAAATGTGAAAACAGGAAAATACCACCGTGTAATCCATTTATTTCAACAAAGTAACTGTAATCCAATTACAACTCACTGAAACTGTAACTGAATACAGTAACTCATAATTTGTACTCTAACTCTGGTACATGTAATCTGTTACTCCCCGACACTGTTGATATGTAATGATATTTAACAACACCTGTGGGTCCTGTTCCACCTTCATGCCCTGACAAAGACCATCCTGCCGTCCAAACTCTCTCGTAATAAAGGATTTAATATATTCAGTCGGCGCCTCGGGTTTGTACTTTGCCCATTTTTTGATTTTTGAGTAAGTGCTACATTTTGTTAAAAGAACTCCAGGTCTGTGTGTGACGAGGAAACTGCAGAACAACAGTGTAACATGGACCTTTCAAGTGTATTCACATTATCGAGCGCACTTCCTGTTTTTCAGCTGCGCAGTTTAAGTCATATAAAGTCGGACGTGCGTTACCATGGCGTGGATGCAGTCGGCCGCGCTGCTGATCTTCTTCTCTGACAGGCTGCTGCTGAAGGACACCGTCTTCTTCCTGTCCCGCCCAGACCGCGACCCCTCCTGGACACACGAGGAACAGCAACACAGTTATATTTAGACCAGAGTGTCCACACGTCCCAGTTTCCCCGGGACAGTCCCACGTTTGAGTCCTGTGTCCCCCGTCCCAAAAGATTTATACAAAACCAACGATTTGTCAAAGTTTTATACAAGAAATGTCCAAGGTGTCCTGCCAACAGTAAAGAGAGACATTTGTTTAGGTAAAATACAAAAAAATCTGCAGAATAATTTTCCTTAATTACACATTAGTTTCACAATTTTATTATTAACAACCAGTGATGCCACTAACGCGCTGCTTAATAATGTGTTAGTGTAGTCCAGTGCTTCTCAATTATTTTCTGTCATGCCCCCCCTAGGAAGAATAAAACATCTCGTGCCCCCCCCCCGCGTGACTATAAATAGTATAATTTGTCTATAAAATTGTTATAAGTACACCTCTGCATAACACTGTATCCTTATTAACGTATAAGAGAATAAAAAAAGAAATATGGACCAACTCACAACAAAGAACAGCTTTATTAACTGTAACAGAAAAGGTTTAAAGTGCATCTGAAATTCAAAAATAAAATTAAATCCTTAATTAAACTATAAAGATTTTTTGACTGACCATGTCAAACCATATGATACTGAAAAATAAAATTACATAAAATCAATAAATAATAATGCATTCAAACTGTCCGCCTGTCTTCTCATCCCTGTTAAATATTTTTTCATGGTGTCACTTGAGTTTCTGCTACACTTCGTGTCTGCACTTCATACTCAAACTCTGTGCTGTGTGCAAAGCGCGCATGCTCAGTGCAAACAAAACTCCTACACCACTGAGCGAATGCTCCCTGCGCACACTCTGCCAATGAGAGCGCCACTGCCCCCTAATGTAGTGGAAGTGCAATTGCACTTTATTCTAGGACAGTAAAAAAAAAAAAATAATAAAAAAAATAAAAAAGCATGTTCCCCGAGGTCAAACGTGCCCCTTGACGGAGCCTCACTATTTGAGAAGCACTGGTGTAGTCCGACTACTTTTGTCAGTATCGAGTCGTCTAACGCAGTGCTATTTCCAAACCAGTGTCAGATTGAAGTCACTTCTCTAATCCACTGCGCGTTAATATTTTTGCGTTTCAGGGCAACGTAGGGTATTTATTTATTTGTATTTTTTGGCGACGTGGGTTATGTGAGCCCAAAGATCGTATAAATCGCCTCTGGTGACACGTTTCCTGTGGAGTTACGTCAGAGTCAGATGTAAACACTGGAGGGAGAGAGGTACGACTTGTGCAGCTGGAGATACAAACATTATTTTGATTTTATTTCAGCTCAGGACGGGAACAGAAAGGTCGGTTGTTCACTCTGTGCTGGAGACAAAGTGTTGTCTGCTTCAAGAAAACAACATCAAACCTAAAGAAACATCTCGAGACACAACAGGGCACAACCACGTGAACAGAGCAGGTCCAGCACGGTGCCAAGAAAACAGTAACGTAAAGTAACTTGTAATCTTAGTTACTTTTAAAATCAAGTATTCAGTAACTTAATTAAGTTGCTTTTTAAAGACGTACTAACGACAGAGAGGCCAGTTCAGTTCAACCTTGGAACGTGTGGACACTACATCAACGCTTCTGACGTGTAACCAAAATGTCTTAAATCAGGCAAGTCCCAAGTATGTCCCAAATTACCTTACATCAGTTAAAAAGCTTTCTGAAAATCTACCTTGATAAAGCGAGTATTTAATATTTAGTGTTTAGTGGTTTTAAGGATCTTAGTGTAAATAAAAGGTCATTCTAACGTGTTAAACCTGCACATATTTATTTTTTTGGGGAACTTTTTATTTTCATTTTCACACAAAATAAAAACATAAAAACTTTCCCTGAGATAAGAATGTTAAAATGTTACCTTTACAAATGCAATATACTTATTCCAATACATGTACAGTATATATTATTACATGTACATCCTTGTGAGCATTTGAGAAACAAGGCATTAATAATAATAATAACCAAGATAAAAAAAATATAATAATAAGTACATAAAAAAGGGATTAAGCTATATATAATAATTTAAATTAAAAAAATAAAATAAAACAAATAAATAAAATATGTGCATGGTTTATTATTATTTTATTTATTTATTTAATTATTCACTGTACTGAGCACCAGTCTGTGGCCCTGGATCGGCCTTCTGCCTCGTCTGCGTTTAGATCTGTGGCCCTTGATGAAAAAAGTTTGGACAGTCTTGTCTTAAATGAATCTGCAGACCTGGTGTGTTTGGATAAACACAGCGGGACGATGGACAAGGTCTAATAGAGAAAAGATCTGCTTCAACATTTGTGATTTTTGTTTTTAAAACTTAACGAGGGAGTATTTTACTTCATTAACTAATAACACGACCTATTTCGATCTTTATGTCCTTTTTATTGCTTTGAAAATGCTGTATTCACTCAAAAACACTTTTCACTTTTCTTTCTGTTTCATGTTTTTTATTTGTGTTTAAACTAGGGATGTAACATTAACTGAAATATCGTCTCGTCAAAGTTCTCACAATAACATTGTGGATCATCACAATATATCGAATCAAAAGTCTCTTTGTTTAAATGAAGAGAGCAGCAAATAACTGAAAAAACACACAGGGAACTACATAGACCATGATCCTTTGCTCCATTTCAGTGCAGATACAAGAAGAAATAACAGTTCTAACATTTTTAAGTCTTAGTTCTTTGGATTAAGTCTTGTCGAGGCGTTTTAATACGAAAAAGAAGAATATTAACAGTTTTGTTGCCTCCACAAAATATTAAAAATAAATATCGTACGGTGAGATGTTTGTCGTGAAAATATCGTACAGAGAGATTTGGATATTTTTACATCTCTAATCATGAGTTTTCCCACAATATCACAATAAATATCGTAACGTGAGGTTCAAACTGTGACGATATCGTATCGAGAGACTTGGATATAAAACAAGACTAAAACAGGATTAAAACAGGACTGAACCAGGACTAAAACAGGACTAAACCAGGACTGAACCAGGACTAAACAGGACTAAAACCAGGACTAAACCAGGACTAAAACTAGGACTAAACCAGGACTAAACAGGACTAAACCAGGACTGAACAGGACTAAAACCAGGACTAAAACAGGACTAAACAGGACAGGACTAAACCAGGAACTGAGCAGGACTGAACCAGGACTAAAACAGGACTAAAACAGGACTAGGAAACCAGGACTGAACCAGGACTGAACCAGGACTGAACCAGGACTGAACCAGGACTGAACCAGGACTAAAACAGGACTAAAACAGGACTGAACCAGGACTAAACCAGGACTAAACCAGGACTAAACCAGGACTGAGCCAGGACTAAAACAGGACTGAACCAGGACTGAACCAGGACTAAAACAGGACTGAACCAGGACTGAACCAGGACTAAAACAGGACTAAAACAGGACTGAGTGTGCGCCCACGTAGACTGTCGGTTGATTGGAACTGAGAACGGGACCAGACTGGGACAAGAATGGGACTAAGACCAGGACCAGTCCGTTATCCGTTTTTTCCATTATTCATTTAAACACAAAATTGAAAACTGAAAATACAAATCATAATCTGTTTTTTTTTTTATTTTTATTTTGGTTTTGGAGACAAATAATGAAGAAAATATTTTTTTTTTATTTTCTTATTTTTGGTTTTATTTTGAAAAACAAATGAACGAATGACACACAGGGAGGGCATCTGACCGTGCACAAACTTCTGGAGGTGTGTCGGTTACTCTGGACCTCCTCCATCACATTAAACGGCAGGTTCATCCGTAAACCGGAGCGCCGGGATTAGGTTTGATCAGATTACATTACGTAACGCGCTCCAGGTTTAATCCAGCGCTCGCTCTCGTCTTTCTGTTGTTCTCCGCGCCGTCCTTGGCCTCCGCCGTCGGAACCATTAATCATCCAAATCCTGCCCGGTAACAAACGCACTTGGCCAATCAGATAAAACGATGGCCCGTCGATCAGAGGCCGTTCAGCCCGGGACCGTGACGGGGATAACATCAGGGAGATAAGGCTGATGGGATAATTATTCCCGATTGAGGCCAAGTGCAGTTTGACAATAGATCTAAAATTACAGATAGTGTCAAATTAGAATAATAAAATATGTATAAATCTCCCTCACAGTAACACAGAGACATCAGGACAAGGGCTGGTGTCATTAAGAAGCCGCCGATACGATACACACCTCGATACATCGTCCACAATACAGCGCAGTTTCAGTTTGATACAATATATTTCAAGTCGATTCGATACAGTTCAATAAAAATAAAGGCTAAATCATGTCTTTGTTAAACCACTTCTTGTGCAAAGTTCATATGAAACACAAACATTTTAAGGGTCCATCTGATGTAAAATAAATCTTTTCACATTGTATCTTCTGCACAATTTGGATTTTGGAACATGCATTACACAATAGTTCTGAAATCTTACTGATTTCTTGGAGACAGTCACAGACCAGGAACTATGAAAGTCCGACTATTGCTCCTCCCCCCGCCCGTCCTGAGAAAGCACAGGCTCCGCCCTCCAAACATGACGTAGGCTCTGAGTGAGCCGCCCTTCCTCCGCCATCTCAGGGAGGGAGGGGGAGACAGGTGTGACCCTGATAGAGGCAGGAATAAACTTTTATTCATCATGGAGATACAGCGCGTTCAGCCGCATGTGTTGGACCCGAAATTAGACTTTGAGGAGCACGAAGCTCAAGCACCGCGTCCACATCAGCTGAACATTACTGATTGGTAAAGTGTTAATAAACACTAGGAGAAAAACTTATTATATCGTGTAACTGCAGTGTAGAACAATGAGCTGATGCTGTCACTTTTGTTTAGGTTCATGTGGGAATTGTCAGTCGATGCAGGGTGGAGGTGGTGGAGCGGAGGGGGGCGGGTGTGAAGCATTTTCTTTTACGTCAAATGCGTCATAAGTGTATCTGCGGCATCATCTTTGTAGCAGCTTTAGTTCGTTGTCACATGGGAGGGTGGCAGAAAT